GCGTGGAGTCCGCCGCCGGCCTCCCGTGGCGGGACGGGCCAGGGCGCACGGAGCGCCCCTGCCCGCGCCGTGCCAGGGCCGAGAGAAGCCCGGGGAGAAGGGGAGCGCGCGGGGAAGGGTGGGCGCTGGAGCGCTCCATGGCGCATTGGAGAGGTCGGTGCCCTTGGGCAGGCGGCGCAGACGGTCCCGGGGGGGTCACTGCAGCGTAGCAGGAGCAAGAGGATGTTCCCTCCTCCTCCCCCAGTCTCTGCTTTGCGCTGGGCGCTCTGCACGAGTTCCCTGCTGCGCGCGTGTGGCCGGGCTGGAGCCTGGATGCGCCCCCTGACCCTACCGCGCGGCGTGTGCTGCTGCCTCTGGGCTGAGCCTGCCGCCCTGCCAATGCGGCTGCGTGTTGCTGGGATCACAGTCCCCTCTGCCCGGCTTTGGGCGCAAAGCCACCCGGCGGAGGATCTCCTTTGGCGGCGGAGTGACGCCACTCGGGTTGCACTGGTGTGAAGCCAATAGAATCCGAATTACGGAGAGCAGCGTCTGCCTGTAAATCGCACGGCTTGTGCCTTTGCCTTTGAGCTGGTTTGGGCTGCTTCCAGGTGAAACTCACTTCTGAGAACGGCTTCTTTGGGTCCTTTGGAAACGCGGCCACCTTCCCCTGCCTGTAGCCACGAACAGGCTTAAGGGATGTGCGTGGCCTGGCCGTTGCGTCTCAAAGCTGGGCTGGGTGGGGCTCTCCCCACATCTTGCCAGGGGTGTCAGTTCAGTAGCATTGAAAGGGGCACCCTGTCTGTCGAGCTCTGTGTGATCTTGCCCTCCAGAGTTGCCTTCTGTAGGGATGTCACTAGAACACTTCAAAGACAGGAGTTAAAACCCTCTCAGTCAAGCACTGTCAAGAGGCTATAGTGTAGAAAATGCTTTCTTGGATCTTAGGAAGTCATCAGATTTTCTCGGGACAGGAGGTTTCTTTTTTTCTTTTTGGAGGGTGGCTAACTGGCTCTGACTTCTGGTTGTGAGCTTGTCCAAACCAGTTGTAGCCTGTCTTGTTTTCATACCAGTCCCATTTAATTCAATGTCTTATTTAAGCATAGGGGTCGTCAAACCAAATGCAGAAGAACCCTAAATTTACTCCTCCCTGTTTGAAGTGGGAATTTCATTTTTGACTTGGCTGAATTTTTATGAAAATTGGAAAGACTTTCCGTTGGAAAATGGCACAACTCCAGGGAAGTGGATGAATGGCTGATTTACACCAGCAGAGGGGCTGGTTCACACCCAGATCACTTGTTTTCAAAGCATATCTCCCCATTCTAAGCTATCTCCCAGAATATTCAGCTAGCCCATTTAAGCATTCAAAAGCCTGCTGCCAAAGGCAAAGGAGGGGGCTTTTTTCTACAGAGACTCATCTAATGTCCAGCACCCTTGGGACCTTATGACATGGACACTTTTTGGTGGTGCCTAGGGGATTGGGTCACCTATCTGCCCCCCTCATCCTTGGGATACCTAGAGGTTTGGGTGCCCTGCCTTCCCCCTTTTATGGGGCACCTGGCGTTAGACACCCTGCCCCCTCTTTGAAGCACCCTTTCAGCTGGTAGACCTGTGTACTTAACTCTACTCCCTGTATGCACAGGTGGCATCATGTACAAAATCCCTTGCTGTTCTCCAGTGGCACGATATTAGATGTGAGTACTTCCCCCTTTCTCTTACATAGAGAAGCATTGCCGTGAAGGTCCAGGGCACCTTAGACTGTCTGCATGACATGTTCTCTCCCCTAAGGTATGTGTATTAATAACTTACATGGATGGGGCTGTTGCCCAGCTGTCTCTGTGCCGAGCTAATAGACGAGTGACGCAGACTGCATCAAGCCAAGGGCTGGTACAATGTGCATGCTGCCTTGGCTGCTAGGGAACCAGGAGAGCAGCATGCCTTTCACTCATAGCACAGTAACTGCTGACCAGAAGACTTCTGATGCTTCCTATTTCTGCTCAATATTCCCCCCTCCCCCGCCACGTTTTGGCAATGGAACATTTGAAGATACCTGTTATCAGGGAGGGCAACTTTTCTGCCAAACGTGAACTTGTTGCAGCAGGGCTAGACGAGGAAAAGGTGCAGAGACAATTACACAGATGTATCTACACCAGTGCAGTCCCCAAGGCACATGCTGCAACTGTGCAAAAGAGGCTTGTTGGTGATGTACCGTGGTAGACGACTTGGGTACATAAGCCCAATGCCTGTTTTATCTCAGTGCTGTCCGTGTACGCCTTGGTGTGAGTATGCCGCTGCCAAAAAGTCCCAGTACTAGCAAGGCTTCAGGCAGTATCTATCAGAGGAGGCTGAATGCTCACTGGTCTAGAAATACTATACGGATTGAAAGCCTTCCTAGAGTGCATAGAATCATAGAATACTACTGTCCTTGCAGACTAGACTAGAACCACACCCTGTGAGTTTTCTCTGGGAAAAATGTCTTTGCCTTTGTACATATCTGCACTAAAGACTTCTGCTGGCAGGCTGTGTCTATCAGAGTTTGCATCTCTTTCTTTTCACAACCCTAACCACGGTTATATGGGCAGAAGTCTATAGTGCAGACCTGGCCTCAAAGAGTTTTTTTTGGGAGGGAGGGAGGATAATCTTGATTGGGAATAGTGTATTTGTTTCAAAATGCAGGACAATGTAGCATTTTAAAGACTAACAAGATGGTTTATTAGATGATGAGCTTTCGTGGGCCAGACCCACTTCCTCAGATCTAATAGTGGAAGAAAGTAGTCACAACCATATATACCGTATATACTCCAGACTAACACGGCTACATCTCTATCACTGTATTTGTTTCATGTTCCTTATTCTCCCAGTATTGGAATCACTCAACAAACTCCCTCTCACATACTTCCCCTTCCCCCCCCCAAAAAAAAGACCCGTGGGACCTCAGTCAGGGATCAATTCTGGAAAACTTTAGCTTAAAAGTGAAATTTTAAAAATAACTGCTGCGAGACTTAGAATGGGAACTGTTATGGAACCTCAGTTACGGTTGATAAAACTGCTTTCCAAAGTACCGGTAATAGACTGGGTAACAACTTTCCACTCTTTGTTTGGTTCTCTTTGCCATGTCTGAATTTTCATACTTGCTGTGTATATGGTCTCAGTCCTTGACTGGCTGCTGAAACCTTGTCTCTTTGCCACGCTCTTTGATACTCTATATGCCAAATACCATAAAGTAAAATATTCTGTACGGGCCTGATCAAAAGCCAATTGCAGTTAGTAGACTTTGGATTATGCCTTATAAGAATAAAAAAATCTATTTACTTATATACAATAGTGCTTTTTTGGGCAGTTTCACAGTTATGTTTTATGATTAGACTTTCTACAGACCTATCTGATGGAATTAAAGGTCCTTGAATGCTTGTGATCATTAACAATCCTGAAGTACTTTTTGCAAGTTTAGAGGAATTGAATTGAAATATGATATGTGGAATTTAGGCACTTAATTTCTGCTTCTCTCAGTTTCTTGGTGACATTTCAGCCAAGTGAGGAACATATCACTCGCCCAAACCTGTTAATTATCGGCTCAGCCTTTCAAACACTGGCTGCTTGTTTGCATTTTCAGGAGTTAGCTAGGGGACGATGTTATATTTTCTGTAAAGCAACTTGTATCCTGAGGGCATTGTGCAGATAGGGCATGAAGCAGTGTTTCTGTGCAGCAGAGGTGACTGCATTTCATTGGAGAATGATTTCTGTATATGAGTGTGAAAAATATCGTGGGATCCTTGTAGAAGCAATACTCTATTTTGAAAAATCTTATCTTCATTTAGATCTTCATTTTTGTAATAAGCCATCTAGGAAAAAAGTGGTGGTCCAGTTAGGGAAGAACTGCGAGAGTGTCTAATATCTGTGAAATAAAAATGGGTCTAGATGTTTTCAGGTTGGCTATAGAATGGGAATAAACTCCCTGCTCTTTGCTCGATCTGTTCCATGGCTTTACTTCCCCATAAACAGGAGTTGCTGGTTTTGAACCAGGAACTTTAGAGCCTTTACTGCAGATGGCAGAGTACTGAGCTGGTGAGAGGTCCCTGAGGTTGCAGGTGCTGAGAGTTAAGAGCCAACAATAAGTGGATCATTAACCCTCAGGCAGAGCAAACCCCTTAATGCTCTTACCTGCCCAAGCATGCCAATGCTTCCATGTGCCTAGATGGTTATTTTTTATGCTTATTTGTGCACATGAGCATTAAGGCAGTGGACAGAGCTCCTGCCATAAGAACCAGATAGTCAAGAGGTTTCATGTGCCTGGTGTAGACAAGAGGTGGCTATAAAGATCTGTTCTGAGCCAGGAGGTGCTCTGGTTGGATTTAGTGGTCTTACCACTTGCACAGAATGAAGAGAAGGGGAGGGTTCAGCAATAGAGAAGCTGGGAAGACTAATATGATGCTTTATACTGAGGCATAGCAAGATAAAGCTGCTAACACAGGCATTTGTTTCCTTAGCATGTGTCTACACTCCAGCTGGGCAAGAACCCCCTCCCCATGGGCAAATAGAGGAGCATGTCTAAACTTGCGGGAAGATCGGCGCTGTGGTAGTCGAACTTCTGGTGTTCGATTTAGCAGGTCTAGTAAGGACCTGCTAAATCAAACACCGAGGGCTCACCTGTGGGTTGGTGCTGGTACTCCTCACTGTAAGGCAAGTTGATGGGAGCATTTTTCCCGTCAACCTCCTGCTGTGAGGATGGCACCAAAGCTTGACTTAAGGTATGGCAACGCCAACTTTGTTATTTACATAGCTGAAATTGCGTCCTTTAAGCCGACCTTTGGCTGTAGTGTAGACCTGCCCAGAGTTGTGCTAACATGCTAAAAGTGGCAGCCTGGGTTAGCTGCTAAGTCCAAAACTGCCTAACTCCTTGCATCTGAGTTTGGGTGGCTAGCCTGGACCTGCGTCCATTCTACTGTTTTCAGGGCGCTAGCTCAAGAGAAGTGCAGTGAGTCTCTTTACCCATGCTGGGAAGCAGGCCTCCCTCTGCACACTGGGGATGCCCTGACTGGTCATGCTTTGGTGCTTTTAATGCAGGTGAACTTCATTTTGCCCTCTGAGATGGGCTCCAGATCGATGACGTTGAAATTGGTAGAGGTCTGCCAGTGTGAACCTTGTCAAGGAGGTCGGATTGGTAACTGTGGGAGCTGTGAAGAAGCAGCTGAGGGCAGCATCTGACCCAATCTTGTCGGTAGTTTAAATGCTAAAGGGTTTTAAATTAGATTTAGGGGAGGGGCCTAGGTCAAATGGCTGGACCCGTTGGGTTTTGGAGAAACTGACATCTGGAGCCAGCCTGGTGCCTGGCTAACCTGTAATGGGCTGGAATAAAACCCTGGACCAAGTCAGGATGTTTTGAGCTGAATGAGAAGGCTGGAAACTATCTCTTGGTACAAAAATAATGGAATTATACAATTCTAGAACTGGGAGGCCATTGAGTCCAGTCCCCTGGACTAGGGGAGACCCAGTACTGTCTAGACCAGGCAGTCAGAGGCCTGCTGCCCCCCCTTTGTTTGCTCAACAGCTGCCCCCCTTTTGTTTGCTCAACAGCTCAAGAACCTTTCCCCCCCTTGGTGTTCTGCATAACAAAAAATTGTTGTTTGGTGTTCCTTGGTCTTAAAAAGTTTAAGAAACACTGGTCTAGACCATCCCTGATAGGTGTCTCTCTACCCTGCTCTTAAATATCTCCACAACCTCCCTAGACAATTTATTCCAGTGTTTAACCGCCCCTGGCAGGAAGTTTTTCCTAATGTCCAACCTAAACCTCCCTTGCTGCAGTTTAAGCCCATTGCTTCTTTTTCTATTATCAGAGGCCAAGCAGAACAATTTTTCTCTCTCCTCTTTGTGACACCCTTTTAGATACTTGAAAACCACTATCATGTCCCCTCTCAGTCTTCTCCTTTCCAAACCAGCCCAATTCTTTGTACTTACAGAAAATATACATACAGAAGCATGTTACTTCTTATGGGCCAAATCCTGAAGCAGTTCAGCCTGGTAGCATGAGGCAGAGACACCCCAGTAGGCTGTATAAACTTCCTGCACAGCAGAGCGACTGTGGATTGATGTGGAAGGAGGCTCATTCCCAATACCCATCATTAACCCTACTAGTATATTACTTAACTCTGGCCAGAAGTCCCCCAGCCTCCTCACCCTTTCTCCTGAGGTGCCCTGACCAGCCCCGAGTTATGAATCAGTCGCACCAATTGTTGGCGGGATGGGCTGAATTTTGAGGGCGTGACTAGTTCAGGATGAAATTATTGGCTTTGGGGGTGGGTGGGACCAGTTTTGGGAAGCATCTACTTTGTAGGAGGAAAAGGCATGGTTCTGTGGGGGAGTGAAAAGGGGTAGGTGGAGGAAGGGCGTAGCTTGGAGGGAAGAAGGCTCCTTTCTGGGAGAAGCAAATTGACGGGATTAGTGTGTGCAAGGAGGGAGGCCTTACTTCTGAGAGAAAGGGGCTGTGGCTTAGTGGGGCAGAGGGAGCCAAGCAATCTTTGATGGGTGGATAGCAAATTCTGCCTTTTAAAAATATCACTTTGCAGTGTTCTTACTAGAAATCATCAGGGGCTTTTATTTACTTTCCCTGAATATTTTTTTCAGGCTTTTGTCTTTTGGGTGTGAACGCCAAAACTTTCTTCAGAAGTTTCTTCTTTGTTTTTAAAGAAATGTTAGTGTTCACTGTTTCCTCACCCTCCTTCTCTCCTCCAGACAAAACCCACTTCTCAGCCAGCTCTCCTTTCTATTCAACCAAGTCATTCTTTGGGGACTTTCTGGTGTACTGATGCTATGTGTTAAAGATGCCTGTTACTAAGTTACTGAGCAGGGGGACTGCATGCCCTGTTACTCTGCAGAAGCCAAACTCTTCAAACCCTAAGAAGAAATTTCAGCGCTAGAGCTGGAAGGTGTAAACTCCAGTTTGCGGAGACATAACTTCGATTTAGCGTGTGCTCTAAAAACACACATATCACCGGGGTGGACTGGCCCGGCGGGATACTGGGATTTTCCTGGTGGGCCGTTGTATCCACCCGTGACGGGCCTCTGTTGCCCCGCACTCCGAGCGGCTCTGCGTCCGCGCTGTATGTGGCACACGGAGCCTGACCGGCCACTTGTGCTGCGTGCCGGACGTGACGCAGGGAAAGGGGGTGAGGCTTGAGGGGCACACAGGGGTGACATCATGGGGAGGGCCATTCCCAGGCCTATTTTGATTGCCAGTCCGCTCCTGTGTGTCACCACGGTGGTGGTGGGCGGGGCTAGTCACCGTGTTCATAGATGTGTAGTGGGGCCCGCCATCCCCTCCTGCGGCTCACGCTGCCGCAGCTACTCATCTATTTTTAATATGCAAGCTCCATTAGAGGGAGCGCTGTTGAGCCTACCCTGCGTTGGAATTCACACCTTCCCGCTGCAGCGTGTAGAACTCCTTGCGCGTGAGACGAGATCGCCGTCTCTTCCGTGGCGTCGCGTGGGCACCTGCAGCATGAGAGAAGTTCGCATTTGGAGCCTCGCCGTGGGCGCCTCGCAAGTCGCAGGCAGTAAACCTGGGCTAATTCTGTGTTTCAGTGATGTCCTCGCGCTGCCGATCTTCAAACAGGAGGAGCCCCAGCTGTCTCCTGAGAATGACACCAAACTGCCTCCGTTTCAATACGTTCTCTGCACAGCCACCTCCCCTGCTGTAAAGCTGCACGAAGAAACCCTGACCTATCTCAACCAAGGTAAGGAACTACAGGAAAGACTGTCATTTGGAAATGGCCCATGATGACACAATTGAATTATGCTCCTCTGGTTTGTGGGGGGCGGGGAAGTTGGGTTTTTTTATTTTGTACACATGTGGGTCAGGTTTTCAGCTGATGTCGGTGAAACGCCCGTGAACTCAGGGCTGGCTTACATTAATTGGGGATCTGGCCCACACATTTCCATGCAATGTATGGTGGATTGGACTCCGACCATTTGAAATGCAGCTTTGTTTGACATGCATTGGTATCTCAGCCATGGGGTAGAGAGGGAGTCTTGTGCCGGCGGGTGAGATTGGCAAGCTGGTAAGCGTTAGGAGCACCACTGTCACGACTCAGCGATGCGTGTCCTAGTTCTGTTCCAGGGAATTGCTGGCGCATGGGTCAGGAAGGAATATG